TTTCTGGTTTGCCAGATTTCTGTGGACAGATATGATGTTATTCTGATGATCCTTCCTCTGTACATTAGTAATCTCTTCCCCTTAGCTGCCCTTAAGACATCTCTGAACTTATGACTGGAGAATTTCATAATCACATGCCTGGATTTCTACGCTCATTGATCTTGGGGGGGGGTGTTCTCTCTGCCTCTATGACATGAACAGTTGCTTCATTCCCCGGATTAGGGAAATTCTCATCTAAGATTTGTTCAGCTGTATCTTCTAGTCCTTTGTCTCTCCACCCCCTTAGAGATCCCAATAATTCTGACATTGGAATGTTTCATGGTGTCACTTATTTCCTCAAATCTGTTTTTATATCTTCTAAGCTGTTTTTTCCAGGCCTCCTCCTGATTCTTCTTTTCTATCAGTTTGTATTCTAGATCACTAATTCTGTCTTCTGCCTCATTTACCTTAGGTGTTAAGGTATTTGGATTAGATTGAATCTCATTGATAGCATTTTTAAGTTCTGTGAGATGAGCTCTCCCGTCCACCCTTAGAGATTCTATGTTGTCACTAATGGTCATCTCCAACCTAGCCATTGCCTGGGTAATTGTTACCTTGAATTCTATTTCCAATATATTGTATATGTCCATATCTAATGTTTTGTGACAGAGGACCCAGTCCCTGGATTTTTCCTCTGTTGGCTCTTCCTCCTCTTAGTCATTTTGGTGAGAGGTGGTTGAGGGGATGTATAGCTGAATATATCAGCCACAATCCAGGCAAGGTCCACCCTGCCAAGTTTCAGAGCAATTTCACCACCAAACAAAAAGAAAAAAGAAAAAAACAGAGAGAAGAAAAGAGGGGGGAAAGAGAAAAAAAACCCAGCCAAAGTAAGTCAGAATTAAGATTTATAAGGTACAAAAACAAATACGAACAAACAAAAAGCAACAAAAGAAAGAGAAAAAGAAAAAACAAAAGAGAAAAACCCAGCCAAAATGAACCCCAGAATAAGACTTGTATAGTACAAAACCAAAAACAAATACACAGAAACACTGACCAAAATAAATAAATAAAAAAATAAAAATAAAAATAAAAATTAATAATAAAATAATAATATGGAAGGTAGTGTTAAACCCTTGATATGGGCAAAGAAGGTTATTTCAGTTCTTAATGGGTGTATCTTTATAAGATATCTTAAAAAGATAC